GAGGAGGGAGATGTCTAGGCTGGCATGTGCATACAGTGAGACAACGAATTTGACTGGATCTGTACTGTTGGAACTCAACCAGGAGTTGGGAGGGGTGCAAGTTGTAGCACCCCAAAATCTCATGACTATAGACTATCTATGGTTAAAAGAACATATGGGATGTGAACAGATCCCAGAAATGGGCTGCTTTAATTTGTCTGATGGTTCAAGTACAGTTGGACAATATCCATCATATCATAGATAAATTTTCACAAATGCCTAGGGTGCCTAAATGGTTTTCTTGGCTTCACTGGAGATGGCTGGTAATTATAGATTTGCTTTGTTTATGTCACCGTATTCCTATTATGTTAATATGTGTGTGCAAATTAGTTAGTAGTTTAAAACCTATACATACTTAAGGTACTATACAAGAAGATATGTCAAAGAAATAATCAATCCTCCCAAGTTTCCTTCATATGCTACATCTATAGCTTTTCTTCTTCCTTCCTAATTACAACCCTTAAATAGAATTCGTGCCTCATATCGAATTTACCGAGTATCATAATTCCTCCAGGTGGTAAAGATACCTCGAGACAAGTGCTGGGCATAGAAGCCACAGGGCATAAATCTGCAAAGAAGTAAAAAGCTAACCTTTGCAAACAATATGGCTTCTCTCTCACTTACCAACTTTACATTTCCCTGTATGGCCCCGGAAGATGACTGGTTAGCCAGAGACGGGTAAGATTCCTCAAGGGAGGAACAACCTAAGACAGGCACAGTCGCAGGGGGGCCATCAGGTGAGAATTTGGGGATCAACAGAGGTGAGGCTCAGAACCTCACCCCCCCTGCTTTGAGAGAAATCTTCTGCATCCGTGGATGTCTTGCTGCCCTTGTCTAGCCTGGATTAATACTTAGTCCATAGGCACACACCTGATCATCTGATCATCTACATTTGCCCTCTTACAGCACTAAATTATATTTTCTACCTTTATCTTGCATCTACCTACCACTTCAGCATTTTATTAAAAATAAAAATAATAATAATAATAGAGGGAGAAATGTGGGATCAACATATAAATCAAGTACAAAAATCAAATGAATATTCATATCTGACCTGATTGTTTAAATTCATAATGCGTGATCAAAACCGAAAGTTTCTGTGATGACTGCCCTTGTACTGTTCACCATGAAAGAACTTATTCACTATGTAAGAATTCGTTTACCATGTAAGAACTTGTTCGTTATGCTTCAGAAGATTGGAGGCTGACGAGAATTAGGCTTGAGATGGATTAATGATTGTACATTGAGCATTGACCCCCCCTATACTGAATTTTATTGTTGTTAACAACCATTTGATCAATAAATATGAGATGCCCTCTCAAAAAACAACAACAACAACAACAACAAGGCCCTTCGAAACACAAAACTTGAGCTAGCCACTACATCTTATTTGATAAAGAAAAAGTCAGCAAACATGTTAACATTTCTTACATGTTATAAAATTTATTTCAACTCTATATTTATGTAGCTTGTCATCATAAATTTGAGTTTCCATCTACATGTTTCAGAAGGCAAACTTACTTCCTATGACAGTTACTGTCATACTGAAAGGTTTAATAGTGCCAAAGAGTACTTGAAGCCTCAAGAAATGTTTTACAGAAATAATTTATTTAAATGTTATTATAAAAAAAAAAACCTGCTAGTTCATTTAAAGTGGTCAATTCTGGTTCAGAGGAAGCTGATTAGCAAGCTGATGATTTGGTTCCAAATAACACAACCCGAATAAAGACTATACATATACTCTTAAAATGTTGAACATATCTGAAGACATATTTCCTTCTTTAAAAAACATTTTACAAGTAAAATTAAGTTACCTAAGCAGATTAATTTCAAAGCAGCCCACCACCAATCATTATATGTCTCCTGGTGAAGAACACACACCTATGCAAGTCTTGTTCCTCCCCTAAACTGAAACGGACCACGATGGACTCCAGGTCCAACTACCACATTAAGGGAATACAGAAGACAGAGAAATATATGGTCAAATACACCACAGTGATGCCACAAAAAAATCTACACTGTGGTAAACTCTGGAAGACAACCTGGATTATCAAATAATACACTGCAAGGGGTGTGAGTGAGGAAGACAGGGAGAACCTATAAATTAAAAGGCACTCAAGAACTATAACAACAAACCACAAGGTATGGTTCTATTTCCAAGAAATACCAGTCAATCAATCAAATGTATTCTTATATGACAACACAAATGGAGATTTAATACTAAGGAATTTTATTATTTAGGATTGACAATGGTATTGTGCTTACTTCTTTTTAGAAAAATGAGTCCTTATTTTTTAGAAATACATATTGAAATATTGAAATGATTTCTGGGATTACTCTCTATACTATGGGAAGATTCGAAGTAGATATGGGAACAGTTCAGACTAGTCTGACATGAAAAACACAATGGAGATAGTCTCCAGTGGACAAGATGATAATGACAGGAACACCTAACAGCCCCACTGTTGATTTAAGATGAGGAAGCACATCGAAGGTTGTCCCAATCCCTAAGTGCCCTATGCAGGCATAACATTAATTATTCAAGGACCATTTGCACTAATGTCTAGCTCTTGTTTGTAATATTCTTTATTCAGAGTTAAAATACTAAAGCATTTATGTATTTTACATCTGATATGTAAAAGTAACAAAACCAGGGAAATAAATTTCTTCCAAGAAAAACTTCATTTTAGACATAATTTCATCCTTAACAGAATGCAGGAGTAGTTTTTGAAGAAACATATTAAACTAACTTGTCATAAAACACTAGGGAAAAAAATTCATTTCTTGAAGGAAACATATCTAAACTAGTAGTCCTGATACTATCCTGAAGGACTATTTTAGCAAATGCAGCAAACCTATCAGTTTATAAATGACCGAAACATCAACCAAACTTAGGTCACTATTCAGAAAGCGAACGACTCATGAAAAACTCTGCTCATACTGACACAGGTCTTCACACCGCCCCTCAGGATGTGGCAGCTTTACCTGTCCGGGTAAAAGCCCCAGTGCACCAACACCTGCTTGTCCTTCCGCATCACTGGTCTCAGCCATTCTTCTGAAAGGGAAAAAGAATATACTTTATTCAAGCTGACAAATAAATGAATCAACTATTATCTGACTTAATTTTTACTTGGAGTTTTTGGTTGGCTAATAAGCCCCAATCCAGTCACCACCCTCAAGAAAAAGTTTCTTCTCAACGGAACACTATCTACCACATTAAGGCAAGTTTTTCAGCTGTGTATACAGATTTCCCGTACTCCAGGCCTATTATCCCACATTCTTGACAAAGCCAACTGTCCACCACAGCAACACCCCCCATTCCTCCTGCTTGTTTGTCCCCACTTCCACCCAGACCATGATCACTGCACTGCCTCATTTCCCACATAGAACCTCTCCCTGGGAAGAGGTTTGCAATTACTACACATCTCTGAAGGCGTGAGTCATGCTTCATCTCCTTGATGAAGTTTTACCAACTATAATTCCCCCAGATTCAGCTTTTCTGGCACCCTATCATGCTCTTCATGCTACATCAAAGCTTTACCAAAAATGCTATTTTTATTATTCCTTAATGGCCTCCCAACAAGAGCAATACGATCACATAAGGTACTTTTATTTCAAGTTTCCTTACTAAAGATAGGTGAAAATGTATATGACCAGATGATCCCTACTGGTTTTAATCACAGCTGGGTCTCACCTACATTTCAGCACTTATTATTGCATTGCACTGGTAAGTCCAAATTTAGCTTAGAAAACCTGTTTCTAAGTACTAAGAGGGAACTGATGAAGTCAACCCCTTGAAACCCAAAACACAGAATCGGCTAAGTAAAACTGGCTTTTCACTGCCAATGTCAGCATGACACAGCCTTAGCTTCACTGACTAAATTCATGGAGCCCACAGGTAATGTCTGTGGCTCCTTTTAAGCATTCAGCTCTCACTTTACTATTTTGAAAGGGAAAAATCAGGTCCTGGTCCTTAATCTGAGATCCAAAACAGCGAAGGGAAAAGTGAAGAGGGGGCAGCCAGCTGGCATCTCAGAACTCACTCCACGAGCAGGATACGGCTGACCCTTGGGCGGCTCAGGTTTGCTGACACGCAAATTTTTTTCAATAAACATAATGGAAATTGTTTTGCAGATTGGTGACAATCTGAAAAAACATTTTTTCTCTAGCTTACTTTACAAATACAGAATATAATACATAAATATACAAAATATTTGTTAATCAACCATTTATGTTATTGGTAAGGCTTCCAGTCAACAGCAGTTAAGTTTTGGGGAGTCAAAGGTTACATGCAGATTTTTAACTGCATGGAGGCAGGGGGTGGGGAGGGTCAGTGCCCCTAGCCCCCACATTGTTCAAGGGTCAGCTATATGCTGACTCTCCGACTAAGAGGAGCTGTCCTTTAGAATACGAAGTCTACCTTCAAAGTCGGTGGAGCTCTAGGAAAGAAAAAAAGGATATCCATCTTTTCTACAACTGACTGAAAATTTTCGCTGTAGCAAAAGTAACTGAGGTATAGAGATATGAATACAGTCTTCCCACAGATGATTACAAGCTACCAATAAAAAGCCCACAATTTTATGAGCAAAAATAAGTCCAAAAGGAGAATATAGAATAATACTTACAACTCAACAGTAACAGACAAATAATCCAACTAAAAAAAAAACAGGCAAAGGGTCTGGACAGACATTCTCCAAACATATATAAATGGCCAAAAAATCACATGAAAAGATGCTCAGAATCATTAATAATCAGGGAAATGCAAACTGAAACCACAGATGCTGTCCGACACCCACTAGAACGGCCAATATAAAAAAGGACCAAGTAAAAAGTGTTGATAAGGATGCAGAGACATTGGTTTCATCATACAATGCTGATGGGGTTGTAAAATGAGACAGCCACTTTGGTCAACAGGCTGGCAGTATTTCAAAAAGCTTAACATACAGCTGCCAATATGACACCACACTTCAAGTTCTAGAGACATGAGAGAACTGGAAGTGTATGTGCACATGGTAACTTGTACAACTGCTGAACATAATGGCATTATTTATAAATAAATGTCCACCAACTTTCAACTGGCTGAATTAACAGCAGTACTTCCAGACCTAGAGTGTTATTTGGCCATAAAAGAGACTAAGGTAAAGGAAGCAATGTCAGCACTGGCAGAACAGGAAGCCCAAGACCTTGTTCCACCAGAGACATGACGTGACACCAGCACACTGCTCAGAGACTTTATGAGAACCAGGCAGGCTCTGGGTCCAGAACAGCTGTACTGACAAGGGCAGAAGAGCCATCTCATCTCAGCCACAGCAGCAAGTCTCCCAAGCCAGCAGAGCTCAGCAGGGTCAGGAGAAAAACCTCAGCTTTCAGCTCCTCACTTGGGCCAAATGAGAGAGAAGCGTGAATGTGTGTGCAGCGTTCCAACTTTCCAGGGGGCTGCCTGAGGGACAGGCTTCTGTCGTAACTGACTCAGAGCGCTGATGGAGAACAAACACACTTTGGAAACCCAGGCACCACAGAGATCAAAGGACAGCTCAGTGGTTGTCACAGCAACAGAAAACTGCAGTTCAGCAGACACGCCAGAGAGCAGGACAGAGATTACAAGCTAGGGAAAGAGAAACCAGCAAACCTCTGAGAAATCACACTCACAAGCCCAGAAAAGATGCATCCCAAGAAAACATTTGTGGGATGACTGGAATCTCAAGCTGTGCTTCCTGGTAAAGGTCTTCCCTGAACAATGCCAGACCATGAAGATGGGGAGAAATGGCTGGTTTTCAAATGCAGAAAACACAACAGAAAATAACAAGACACAACAAAGAAGGAGGGAAAGTGGCCCAAAGGAATAAAATGAATGTCAACACCTGACCCTAAAGAAACAAAAAATCTATGAATTACCTGACATATACAAAATTATTGCATTAACTGAACAAATGGATCAAAGAATAAAAAAATCAGAAATACCCTGAGACAAAAATGAAAATAAACATACCAAAACTTAGGAGATCCAGCAAAAGTAGTACAAGAGGGAAGTTTACAGTGTTAAATGTCTACCTCAAGAAGCGAAATTTCAAATAAACCATCTTAATTTTACACATCAAAAACCAGAAAACAACAAAGCCCTAAGTTAGTAGAAGGAAGGAAATAACAAATATAAGAGCAGAAATAAATGCAACAAAGACTAAAAAGGCAATAGAAAGGTTCAATGAAATCAAGAGCTGCTTTCTGGAAAAGATAAAACTGACAAACCTTTAGCTGAGATGCACCAAAAAAGGGCTAAAATAAAATCAGAAATGAAAGAGATGTTACAAATGACACCACTACAATATAAAGATCATGCTACAAATTATACACCAAAAGAATAGCCTAGAAAAAAAATCATAATTCTCATACAACCTTTCAAGACTGAATCATGATGAAACAGAGGATCTGAACAGACCAATTACTAGAAAGAGACTGAATCACTAACCAAAAACCTCCCACCAAACAAAAATCCAGGACCAGGTGGCTTTAGTAATGAATTCTACCAAATATTCAAAGAATTAGTACCAAGTCTTATGAAACTCTTCCAAAACACTGAAGAGGAGGGAACACTTTCTAACCGGCCAGCAATACCCTTATACCAAATCCAGACAAAGATGCCACAGAAAGGCCGATATTCCTGAACACAGATGCAAAACTCCTCAACAAAATGTTAGCAAACCAAATTCGACAACACACTGAAAGGATCATATATCATCATCAAGTGGGATTTATTCCAGGGATGCAAGGATGGCTCAACCTCCACAAATCAATCAATGTGATATAACACATTAAACAAAAGAATAAAAATCATATGCATATGACAAAACTCAATAGCTATTTATGATAAAAAAAACTCTCAAACTGAGTATAGAAGAACATGCCAAGAGCTAATACATGATGGGCCCACAGCTAACACCATATTCAATGGTGAAAAGCTGAAACGTTTTCCTTTAAGATCAGGAACAAGACAAGGGTGCCCACTTACGCTGCTACTTTAAGTCAACAAAGTGTTGGAGAGCCTAGCCAGAGCAATTAGTAAAGAAAAATAAAAAGCATCCAAACTGGAAAGGAAGGAGTAAAACAGTCACTATTTGCAGATGACATATTATACATAGAAACCCTAAAGACTGAATCAAAAGACAGAATAAATGAATTCAGTCAGGTTGTAGGAAACAGCATCAACATACAGAAATAAAAATAATCACTTTAAAGAGGCTCATTGCACAAGAGAACAGTTAAACTACATAAAATAAGGAAAATGATGCAAGAACAACAGGAGAATGTCAGCAAAGAGACAGAAACTATAAAAAAGAACCAAATGGAACTTCTGGAGTTGAATATCTGAACTGAAAAATCCCGAGTGGTTCAGCACCACCCTGGACCAATTATTTTGCAACTGGCAAATACAAACACACTGTCTCAGGCTTCGCTCTGATTTCTTTGAAGAACAATCCCATTGCCCACATCCTGAATTTTGAAATGTTTTCCTTTCCTTATTTCTTTTTGACTTTTAAGAAATCCACTACCTCGGCTTGCCATATAACTTATCTTTGCTCTCCTGATAAAAAATGGATTTTTCACATCGAACAGTAAGATTTTTCCTCACTGAACAATTTAATACAGAGATTTCCCAATGGGCCTTGTTCTCCAACCAGTCACCTTATAGCATATATCTTAGAAATCAGCTCCCAGGCAAATTTCCTAATACAGCCTCAGATGCATATTTCTCTTCATCAAAATCAGTATTGCCTATCCTCTCCCTCAGTTATCAAAAAAACCCAAAGCTCTCTAAACCAGAACTCGTATCCTCTTACCTACATGGTCCTATGTCCTGCTATCCTGAGACATACAGCCAACCTTTTTGCCATTTGCTTTTCCTCAAATTCCGTAATTTACTGCAACTATGATTTTTCTTATTTTGCACCCCCTTTTACCATGCCTTACTCAGCATCTTACTAATAATTTAAGGCTCATTAAGTATCACCCCTTCATTTTGAATGTAATTAATCCTCATAAAAGGTACAGTGCATTTTCAAGATGTTTTGTGGCTGGTCCTATTATCTGCACTTACCTGCAACAAGTACATAAAAAGTACTGAAAATTAAGTTTAAAGACTATCTCCTAAAGATTACTCTAATGTTAACAGTATCAAGCACATATTAGTATGAAGTAAACTAGGTTGCTTTAAACAAAGGAGAAAACTAAGACTAGCATAAATAAGGAATCACTAAACAGCTAGATAAAACAATCATAATCTTTTGTAAGAGGCAATTTTTCCCCAATGTGTTAACAATCTCTAAGTTTTATACCAGTTTTATACCTTATCAGATAAACAGCCAGCAAGAGAATCAGTACTCTATCGTGTACAGCCATCCGCCACCTTCATCTAGTGAAAAGCAGTGCCTATTACCTGACACAATCAAGGCAGCAAAACCTCCAGTTAACAATGAAACATTAAAGACAGGCTACGGTTTCTCTTATTATAAAAGCATAATAATTATAGAGCTAAAACTGCGACTGTAACAACTGAAATCAAACTTTCATTTATCAAAATGGATTAATTAAAAGACCTAAATGTAACAGCTAAAACAAACTATGAAACTCATAGTTTAAAAATTTGTGACTAGGGATTAGGTGATGGTTTCCACGAAACCAAAGCCCATGCAAGCAAGCATGCAACCTAACATATCCTCTTATAACTGCTTCTAACATCTGTAGGATCTGTAGTGGTATCTCCTTGCCATTCCCAACATTACTTCTCTTTTCTTGTTTACTTGCAGCACAACTATAAACATCTTATAAGTCTTTCCAAAGAACCACTTCTGGCACCATTCAGCGTGTTGCTTTGTATTTTTCCTACTTCATTAATTTTGCCCTATCTTTATTCTTTCTTTCCTTAGTTTGTTATTTTACATTTCTAATTTCTTGAGAGAAATGTGTACACCACCAATTTTTCAGTCTTTCTTCTTGCTTAATACATTTAAAAATACAGATTTCCCTCTTAAGGTGCATCCAAAATTTAAAGTTCTTGTACTTAATTATTTATTTCAAAATTATTCAGTGCTGGGATTTTCTATTTCCACTGTAATTTCTTCTATGATCATAGATTATTTAGCAATGTATTTCTTAATTTTCAAGTATATGGGGATTGTCTGGTTATCTTTTCATTATTCACTTCTGGTCCTAACTGCACTGGTCGGGCAAAAACACTCAGCACAGGGCGATCAGCAACTCGGATCTGGCTTCTTGCATAGCATGTCCTACAGGGGTGTGTTGTGTTTATCAGAAAACTTCATCCCTATACGAAGATCTATTTCTGAATCTAAGTAATTTGGCGACCTCATTAATATTTTGTTCTCCAACTTTCCAACGTTTGAAAAAATGGTTAGGAAAAATCAGTTTCCTTAAGTCTAATGAACTTTGGCCACTGACAAAATCAGCTTTCAGGAGAGCAGAGCTGAAGATCAGAATCTGAACCAGTATAAATTCACCAAACTAACACACTGCTAGGGGAACTGCTTAGACAGCCTATCCTGCCCAGAGATGTGCTATCTTCAAATGTCTTTTAATTTTCAGAATAAAAGAGACATACTAAACATTAACAAAGTTACTACATAAAGTATGCCTAGACTTAACATCCAGATAATGATTAGCAACAATAAAAGTCTAATCATTACAAAGTAGGACATCACAGAATTAATTTGCTTAGCCTCATTCAGAAAGGGAAAAAAAAAAACCTGTAAATTTAAATAATCTGTACAATTTATTTAATACATGAAAGTCTCTTTTTTAAAAAAAGCTGGTTATATTGTTTAAACCACTTCTGATAATATTTAAAATCTAGTGAAGTAAAAGTTTATCAGTTCACAATCAAAAACTAACTTACCATCCTCTTGGGAGGAAGGATATGGATAAATGTGGTGGGAAGCTTTTGACTTCTCATCAGTAAATGTCCCCTGTAACACAAATGAACAAATTACATACAAATAAAGCACATGACAAACTGCAATGCCAGATGCACACTACTTAAGAATTATAAAGGTATTATTTTACTTATTATGTTTAAGAGTATTAATATATTTAAGAGTAATTTATTATTTACAGTCAAAGAAATGGGTAGTGATTAACAAGAACAAAAGTAAATTATCTATAGACACAGTTTATATTGTATAGAAAAATATTACAACTAATTACTCTGTGTATCTCTCTTTGGGTAACCTTATCAGTAATATGAGTACCTCTACATTAATTCTAAAAGTTACTCCAAAGTGACCACAAATTATCATTCTTGTCTGAAATTAATCAACACAGGTATATTAATTGTGAGTCATAACCTAGGGCTACATACATGCATACATTTGACTTGGCTCTAGCATATTAGTATGCTACTATTGTTTGAAATCAATGTTAGGATATTGGATGGTATTTTAGCGAATGATACAAATGCTAAAGTCAAGTCCTAGCTTTCCTAAAGCTGTACTACTGCATACAGCCTAGAACATGACGTGGGAGCCATTTAGAAACAAAAGTGCTCATTCTAGAGATTGTAAGAATTATGGGAAGTATTAAAATCAGGTGATAAGTAGTACCTTAATGGATTTCCTGAATTTGTCTTTGACAATGGAGTACTTACTAATTATTGTAATCAGAAAAATATAACAATGCTATTTTCAAATGGAAGAAAATTCCAAAACTCTACAATTGAGGGCTAACTAAGAGTGAATTGGCTACCAAATAGGGCAAAGAATTTTCAGTCCCAGAAAGTGTTTGAGTGCACTTCTGAATAACCACAGATGAGGCTGAAATGGGGTATCAACACACTGAGACAACAGTCAGAAGAACCCAGTGTTCAGGGCTCTCGCCTCCAGAATCCATGTAGCAAGCTTGCGTTTGGACCTCAGCTCTACCATTTATTACTTGGGTGTTATGGGATAAGAATCTAAGTTTTTTTGTGCTTCAGCATCTTCTGCGGAATAGAGTGGAAACAATATATATTTCACAAGAATTTTGTAATGACTAAATTAATAGATGCAACGAGCTAAAACAAGTGACAGGTACACTGTAAGTGCTCAGAAATGGAGTTACTAGTGCATTTTAAGTGCGTGAGCAAAGGCCTAATCATCAGTATTCAAAAACTATTATTAGCTCCTAAGGCCTCTTCCAGAGATTCTAGGAAACTAGAGAGACCCTTCTATCCCTCTGGAGATAAACCCTGGAAAACCATCACTAAATCAGGTATCTCAAAGAAATATGACAGCTAAATGTTCAGTGTGAACTGTAAGAAAACATATGAACTTTTTCTAGGATGACTTGGTGGCAACAAGGTCGTTTCAACTCAAAAGCAGTACCAGGCCGGCTAATTTTTCCCCTTTCTGCCCCCTCCCCTAACATTCCATGTGTAATGGAACCTCACTGGACAGCCACTCCGGCACACAGTCCAAAAACCAAAAGAAGGTTAAGTGATGTGTTCAAAGTCATGATGCTGATGAAAAAAGAAACTGAACAGCAGACGGCCTGATCTGAGAGTACAATTGTGTCGCCTTTGTCTTTGGGAAAGACTATACTAAATCTCCAGTTGTAAGCCGTATGAGAAACCTCTGCTTTAGGAATTTGGAAGGTATATTTCACTAAATGCTAAAACATAATTCAACTGGCAATCTCTCTTGCAGTAGAAAAAAGAAAGATATTTCATGAGGCTTCTCAACTAATCCTAAGGATTGGTAAAACTGTGCCTCAGATAATGTTTCAGAAAACTATCTATCTTCTACCTGGGTCTCCTCAGCCTGTTATCACAACATGAGTCTGCTTACAGTTTAGCCCTTTATAGCCACAAACCTACACGCAGTAAATACCCAAGGCCTCAGCCTAACATGACATGAGCGGGAGGAGCTGAAGACGGAAGACATTGGTACATGTGAATCAGGACAAAGCAAGCTTACAGGAAAAACAGTAATTTCCAGTCATTTTTAAAAAGCTACACTTGAACTCTACATAGCCCATTTCAGAGTACTGCACACTTGCATCAAACCACCCCATAACACACCTTAAATTTAATCTACACAATGTGAGGTGTCAGCTCCATCTCAGGAATACAGGGGGGAAATGCTACTCTAGGTTAAGAATTGGAGTGAGCGGAGAGAATCAACTTGGTACTATGTGAATCCTAAGAGAGACAACTTAAAGATACATATAGAAATCAAAAGATACTTTGTAAGAAGCCTCCTACTACATGATATGCTACAGGGATCCCGTCTCGTACCTGATGTCGCTTGATGATATCTTTCAATTTGTTAGCCAACTTCAGGTCAATGTCTGGAATGAGGTAGATGTTGGGTCTGGTCAGACAATTGCTCTGAGAAGAAATAGCAGATTTTGAAATTCTCCTGGTTTTGAAATAATGTGACAATATTTATGCATTACCCTAATGCCACAAGTTGGTTCACACTGCTTCAAATGTGAAGATGTACTTTGGTAGAGACTGCAAAAGTCTTCTCTCAATAAAACCCTAAGTCGTTAGCAGGCCACTTAATGACACCCCAGAAGCCTCCTGCAGCTGGGTGCGCCTGGACAGAAAATCACCACCCAAAGAAAGTCACCTTCTTTTTCAGAATGGTACCGCAATTCTTATTCCATAAAAAGTTTAAGGTCAATTATCTATAAATGACAAGCTCTAGTCATACTTTAGAGCTGTAAGCCCCCAAAAGCCATAAAAACAATAGATTTCAGAAAAATTTTCCTTTGACAATCTAATAAAAGCCAAACTTAGAATTGGAAGTATATGAAAGGAAAACATTTTAATAATCTAATTTCTGAGTTACCTGCACCAACATTTTTTCAATGTTCATGAACATTTCAACATTACGATCCATTCGGGAGGGATTCTGTAGATCAAACCTACGCCTAAAAGAGAAGAAAATCATTAATTTATCTTCCAGCTTAAACAGAAGTGAAAACTTGATTTTATGATTCAGTTCAAATGAGTTGGAAATACTTACAAATTAAAAAAGCACTGTACAAAACGTATGGGTGCATTCTCTCAGTAATGGAAGAAAGCAGTGTCAATACCTTCATGAAACATTAACTTTTTTGACATTAACAACCACTCCAGTCAAAATGAAGTACCTATTCCACTTAATATTCTGTCTTCCTTGAATCTAAGGTATCTTGCATCATATAGAAAAGCACTGTACAGACCCACGGCCAGTGGAGTACCATGCCGTCCAGAGGAAGGTGACCTACCCGCATGAGACACACACTCAAAAGTTACTTGTTCAAATCCAACAAAGTCTGTGTTCTCTTTGAACCCCCTACCATCCTAAATGAGGTAAAGTTCATCTGTTTACCTTTATTTGAAATCTTTCCCCAACTTCTCCTTATCTAAGTACCATGCATTAACATTGTAGTGCTCTCATTGCCTAATCTTAGTCATTTCCATGTGGCTAAATCTTTACAAATTTAAATATTTCTTTCTCCACATTTTTTAGTTAACACTTAGTCTTGCTTTTCTTCCATTTTAATTCCAGGGGGAGGGGTCTCAATCCCTGATTCCGACTGTGGGTTGTGGAGTCAACCTGCTTAGAGTTCTAATCCTGACCCTATCTTTATCCTGCCTGAAGTGATTTACTAATCCAAAGGTCAATTTCTTCATCACTACAGTGGCCCATTATGGGTTTCTGTGAAGGTTACATGAGTTATGTATGTTAAGAGGTTAGCATAATGTTCAATACATGCTAACTATGGTTACAGTTTTTAAAAATCATTACTGGTATGTACTAGCCAGATTCGGGCAGTCTGAGTCCAAACAAAGCTCAGGCTCTTTACTCTCATGTTTTATCGTGGAGAGGCTCCCCACACCACTAACCCTTTCTTTCTAAACTCAGCCGCCCTTCCAGGATGTTACCACGAGCTCAGTGGGTGTGGCAAAATTTCCAGTCAGAGCACAGCTTCCTCCATAAAGCTGTTCCTGTCTTCCCCGTTAGGCCTCACAACAGAATCTTGGTGAGACATCTCATTAGATGCCTTGAGGTCAAGGACCAGGGTTTTGAAAACTTTCCTATGTAGCCCTAGTGGCTTTATAAAGCAAATTACTACATAAATTAGTATTTATTATGACTGAGGTATAATATTTATTATGACTTCTCCATTACTGTGCTATGACAAAATTGAACTGTCTCCTAAAGTATTAAGAAATTAAGCCAAATCTCTACTAAAACACAGCAATTATCTAAATAGATCACTTAGAATAGAACTAAATTCTTAAAAATGGCAAAGAGTAACTGTACCTTGATTTAACCTTTTAATTAAATCCAATCTTTCTGGGTTTTTAACCTCTTGTGGTGAAAATTGTAATACTTCCAGAATATCTTGCCTGGCTTTAGTATATCTGCATATAAACAGGCACTCAGAGGTAGAAAGAAGTACGACTCTAGTGCATTTGCGTCATTCCTCAGGGGTGGAGAGAAGTTCATCTCCCTATCAGTGGGTAATTACCTGGGCAAGGAGGGCTGATCTGTACCTGAGAAGTGAGGGGGGGAGGGCCGGTGTTGCTTCTGCTGGAGCAGAAAAGAGAGAAGGCCCCAGACTGCAGTTTGTAAGCAATAAATGGATTTTAAACTTTATTTCTTCCTTTGACTGATTTCGGTTTTTAGAGGTATTTTGCCCTGGGATTTCCTCCACCCGGACTTAACACCTCCTTCCCTAGCCTCTTCTGAGGAAAGGATAATGAAGGAAATGCTAAGCAATTCCCAGCCCTTGGCAGAACGAGTCACCGACTGACTAGCTAAGACAGCCCAGTCACAGGAGACAGCCCTCCACTGGTTCTTCCGGCACCGTCAAGTGAGGGGCACATGAGTGCCTCTTTCTAAAGAATGGGGCTCACTCTTTCACAAGCTCCTGATAACAGAAGAGCTATATCCAGAGACACCTCACTTACAGAATTGTCTACATAAGAATTTATTCAATATTCATAGAGAAACTGTTTCCTTAATAGATGACTCAAGTAATGGGGCTGAAGGAAATTATTATAAATTGAGAAATAGTTTGAAAGCAGTCATTGAACAAATTAAAACAGGGCTGCCTGGATTCACCTGCAAAGAGTAAAAGCTAATCAATCTGTTAATAGAGAAAGAATCAAGAATTTATCCTGTCTTCCCAATTGATGAGCAAAGTTTGTTTTTAGAAAAGTATTCCAGCTAACAAATGAAGACAGAATGAGAGTAACAGTCTTAACAAGGAATAGTTTAAAAAAATAATAAGGACCTAAATACACACATTGGAATACCTATCTTCTAAGATTACTATCACTTGGTAAAGTGTGATGACAAGATGGCTCTAGGCACTGAGCATTAACGCCTGTCCATGACATACAGAAAGATGAGCAGGCGCCACAGGCCTCTGCATGGAGGAGCGCAACACTGTCCTTCAGTTACTGCTGCAAAAACAGCTGTCCCTGTGGGTAAGATTCCTCAAGGGAGGAACAACCTAAGACAGGCACAGTCGCAGGGGGGCCATCAGGTGAGAATTTGGGGATCAACAGAGGTGAGGCTCAGAACCTCACCCCCCCCGCTTTGAGAGAAATCTTCTGCATCCGTGGATGTCTTGCTGCCCTTGTCTAGCCTGGATTAATACTTAGTCCATAGGCACACACCTGATCATCTGATCATCTACAATTGCTCTCTTACAGCACTGAACTATGTTTTCTACCTTTATCTTGCATCTACCTACCACTTCAGCATTTTATTAAAAATAAAAATAATAATAATAATAGGAGAAATGTGGGATCAACATATAAATCAAGTACAAAAATCAAATGAATATTCATATTTGACCTGATGGTTTATAGGTCATATTGCATGATCAAAACCGAAAGTTTCTGTGATGAATGCCCTTGTACTGTTCACCATGTAAGAATTTATTCACTCTGTAAGAATTCGTTCACCATGTAAGAACTTGTTCGTTATGCTTCAGAAGATTGGAGACTGACGAGAATTAGACTTCAGATGGATTAATGATTGTACATTGAGCATTGACCCCCCTATACTGAATTTTATTGTTGTTAACAACCATTTGATCAATAAATATGAGAGATGCCCTCTCAAAAAAACAGCTGTCCCTGAATCAGAAAGCCTCTAGGTCTCATTACCATTCTCCTAGAAATTTAGACTATGTTAAATGATGTCCTGAGGACGTATTATCAGCAAAATCCAGAACATAGACAATGCTACAAGACATCCTGTTTTTATAAACAAATTAGCTTGTGAGGAAAAAGCAGGTGAAGAGCAAGTGAGAACAACTATGAATTTTAAAAGACACCTAAGAGTCACAGACTGGTGGTTACGAAAGGTAACCAATCACAATATAGGTAGGTCACGGGAAGGCAGGACAGCAAGAAGACAAGTAATGACTCTACAGCTTATTACTACGCTGATAGACAGTGACTGCAAGGCCGGGGCAGGGGGGTAGTGAGGACTTGATAATATGCATGAATGTAGTAACCACACCGTTGCTCATGTGAAACGTTCATAAGATTATATATCAATGATACCTAAATAAAAAAAAAATTGTTAGAAGAAAAGCAGGGGAATAGGGAGGAAAATGGAAAGACTAGTTCCATGAGAAGAAAAGAATAGGATAAAATGTTTAAACTCTTAAAGTGAAGCTTGTCTGCATCATTTTAAATGGTATCAAAATGTCATGTCATTCAGCTCCCACTGGGGAATGATGAGTGATTTAAAAAGTGATAGTTTTATTTTTAAATGTTAATAATACGTACAATATCCTGGAAATTATCTCCTTTGCAATGAAAAACAAAAACAAAACAAAAATGCTCTGTAATTTAAAAAAGAAAATCCCAGAAGTGGAAATAAATTTAAGGTACCCCTTACAATTTTATCACTTTCTTGAAAACCCTTGATAATAAAGAAGCACAGTTCATTAATTTTTTGCAATGGGAAAATGTAAATTTTAAAGTTTAAAAATTTCTTCCTGGTGGGCTCAGCTCTGAGCTGCCCTGAAGTCTCAGCACAGCTTTCCGAGTCAGCAGCGAACAAGAACCAGGCTCACGGCCTCACTGTGGCCAAGGCCCTGGACTCTATGGGAGGAGCATGCGTGCACTCACCGTGGGCCAGAACTGACTTTGAAAATTTAAAAGTAAATTAGTTGAAAACATTTCTGTCTGTTTTATAAATAAAATGTGTAAACTTAAAAAAAATGTATTTCTTTTTAATGCTTGTGAGGAAAAGCATTAGGAAAAAAAAAAAAAAGCACACCCAAGAGTCAAATCACCAAATGCAATGTATGATTCTTATTTGGATACTGATTTAAATAAAATGTAAAAACCATTCATAAGATAATCAGAGAAACTCGAACTCTAAGTGGATATTTAATAATATTGGAAAGTCATTAACAATTTTCTTAGTTGTAATAATAGCACTATTATTTATGCTTTAAAAAATACTTTAGAATATGCAGTGAAATATTTATAGATGAAATACATGCAGCTAAAGATGCACTATGGTTCTCTTTTTTATATATAGTTTACATTTTCCATAGTGTTAGGAAAGAGTATAAAACCTAAATGTGATTTACTCCCACTAGGATGTTTAAACATTTTAACAGTAAGGTATTAACAAAGGGCCACGTGGTGGAAGCTGCTCGGGCTGAGAGTGGGGGTGGGGGAATTGATAAGGGCCTGGCAATACCTGTTTGGGTTTTTTAAACCTACCAACAAGATTACGACAAATGTAAAGGAAAGATATAACTGCCTTAGGCGACATCCGGGAAAGAATGTGAACCCTGTAGTACTCAGCCAATGAGGAACCAGGGGAGGGACTCACGTACTAGGAGATAAATTATTGGCGCCAAATTCCCCAGGTGTGCCTGCCCACCAGACACCCGGCAAGACCATCATTAAAGCCTCACTCTGCTGTTCTTTGTCTCCTTGTCCACTTACTGAATTTGGACCAGTGAGTGTGTTTCTCACCATAGTAACAAAAGAAAATGGTTTGCCAAACAGTGATTTAGGAACATGACACATTAGAGTTTTCCTGAATCGGCAGCATACTATGTAAGCGGAGGTAGTATTTAAAATATAGGGATATCATGAAAAACTGAAATGCAGAAATCAGGTAAAAGTGGTACAACCTTGAGTTGAAAGATGTTCTCTGACTTACTTTGAAATTACCAAGAGTATTTAAATAAAACTTTGCTTTTCATAATATGGAAAGATGCTCAAACTTGCCTAGAATAGAAATGAAAATTAGAACTGAACTGTAAAACCCATCAGATGCTACCACAGATTGGCAGAGACAAGATGAGGTAATAAACCCACTGCTGCCCCGTGAAAAGGGAAAAGGCACACTTTCAACACACTGCCGTAGGACAATCAGCCAATTTTGCTGAAGATAATCTGGCAACTGTTTGTATTATGTGTGTTTGTGTCGTGAGCACCTTAATTCCTTGTGATCCCATCTGACAATTTAGAGTAAAACTAGCACGGGGAGGTCCCAGAGAGGAGGGTTCTCCACAGGGAAACATTTGAAAGAGATACTATTACTCCATGCTGACCACAGCCATAATATAGACGATGAGAGACAACAAATGAACATACCTTCTCTCTGACTCACAACTTTTGGCCATTTAGACTGCAGTGTGAGCTCTCCACTGAGGGCTCATTACTTAACCAAGGTGTCTTTCCCTTTGTTTTCTTCTGGCAATCTGCCAGGCCATGTCTCACAGCGGCCTTCCAATCTAAGGCAATACTCGGTGGGGCTTTAGTTAGCTGTATTACTCCAATTTAACTGCCCCCGATGAATATAATTAGGATGTTCTCTTCTCATCCACAGCTACATGTAGAAAAAACAGTATGAATAAAAATATTCAACAATGGATCTCAGTGAATGAGTTCAACTCCTGGGAGAGTGGTGTGAAGGGCTTCAGGAGCAAACTTCCAAAGCAAAAACAAAAATGCACCAAGCTAGGGGTAAGGCAAACAGCAGACAGCAGCACGGGCAGTTGTGTGGAAGTGACTGAAGCTTGCTTACTGATGGCAGCTATAAAAGCATAGAGGCTACCATCAAAAAGGAGGGCTCTGCCACCCCAAAGGGTGGTCCACAGCCGAGAGCTAAGTAGAACTCAGAAACAGCCAGCCACATACAGGGGAAGGGGGATCTGTTATACATTAACAGACTAAAAATTATATCCCACTAGGTGTATGACCGTGTGTATAAGCAAATTAGTTTGACTCCTTGCTATGCTGTTTTTAATAAAAAGCTAGATGGCTAGCAGAAAGCAATTTTAAAATATGCTAGTAAACAGGTTAATTCCTCACAACCCCCTGGAGTGCTTTTTGAAAATGCGAAGTCTCAGTTTTCACACCAAACTTAATAGATCACAATTTTTGTCCATGTTCATGTTCAGATTTTTAACAAGTGAGTCCTAAATTTTGAATGCCACTGTTAGGGACCTACTGTGATAATGTCTAAAAAATTTTTTTTAATCTGAAGGAGACTTTTAAGGTGGTACATCTTAAAAGACTTGGAAAAATTCTTATTCCTCACTCCACTTACAGTCTCTAACTCTATCCCTTATTTCTTTTTTGGCCCCCATTTTAACTGAAGGACATTTTGTTTTACATATCCTTCTATACCACTTTAAGTTCTTTCAGATAATAGTATTTCATCATGCTGGTACGCAAAGTTAAGTTCCATAATGTGTGACTTAGGATAAGTCATTTCACTTTGAGACTCTTTCCTCAAGAGTCCATTATCAGCAATTAGGATACAAGATGAACCAAAAAAAACTAGTAGAGAAAAGAGCTAGCTGGGCATCTAAGCGAACAGCAGGGTGTGACCCCTATCTGAGAGCACTCAGGCATGCTGCCCAACCTCGATCAGGGAATGCCTGCTGAGAGTTAAAACACCTGAGCTGAACACAGAGCGCTACCTCTGATAACAGCAAACTTTCATGCTCATTTAACCAATATTATCAAACACCCACCCCTCTATTAAAAGTTCTAGCCAATATATACACACATCTGTATCTCTATTTACTGTAAGTCAGTCGGTCATTTACTTATAAATTTGTCTGGATTACTGATGTGAATACTTATTTACATTTCCCAGCCATAAAAGATTGGATTATCTTAACTCTTCTATTAAAATACACAGATTACATGATTGTTCTCCTGGAAAGATGCTAAGATTATAAACTGCACACAGACGGTACAACTAAACCCACCAAACAACTCCTATTCATACCCCAGCACCCAGCAGTCAACCCCCACACCCACGAGGCTCCCTCCCCACCCTTGACTGCAGAGCCATCATCACTGAACATTCAGTAGTCGGGCAACTGAACCCCCACATTGAGGGGGCAGAAACCCCAGAGCTCAAGCAAGATAAGGGAGAAAGCAGCAACAGAGACAGGTGGGAAAGGAGTAAAGAGTGTGAGGGGGGCGGGGAGGAGCAAAGTGTAGGAGCAGCAGGGGTTCGCGCAGGCTCTGGAGCCAGACGCCTGCGTCCTGAGGGCCTGGTTCCCTGGAATATTTCCGCCACTACCTTTCAGCACATTTAAGTCCATAATACACACAAACATTTCACAACAGGCACACCATCTATTGTCTACACACAGCCACAAGTGAGACATAACTTGCGTAATAAATGCAATAGTAGTTTGATATCTTTCTTGAAGGCACAAAGTACATTAGGGGTAGAGGTAAGACAACCTACTTTGACTGTTAACCATAATGTGCTTACAGAATTCCCTAACATCACACAAAGAAGCAACAGGATTTAACATTAAATAATTTAAACATATCAAAACATGCAAATAAATACAGGAACTTACCATCCCTGTTCATTTTTGTACTTGTAAGCAGCCCCAAGAATGTGACACAAGGTGCCTCCAGCTTTGAAATCCATGAAACATTTTGCCTGAAAAAACAATACAGATTACACATAAGAAAAATAAAAGTTATGACTAAATTACTCACATCTGAGTTCTAAGTTTTATAAACTCAAAGATATAAACAACTGCTAACTTAACCTCTTTACATACTTTCAGGAAGAAACTGAGGTATAAAGAAATTTTCCTAAAAGTGGACAAGAAAATATCTATTTTTGAATTCAACTAACAAGCTACTGTTTAGTCTGTGAAAAGAGTTACACCAGAAAACACTAATAAACAAAATATTGATATGCTACAAATTCCACTGGTTAAACCTTGATTTTTAAAACATAAAAATTCTAACACCACACAATTTTCAACAATATGGTTTTCCTGTAGAATAAATTTTAATATACGTAAGATTTTCCCAATTTAGGTTCCTGACTTTCAAAATTAGAGAGAAATTATAACCTAACTCTTGCTATAGTATTTTAACAACCAGTGAAACACAGTGTAATTATACTTAACTCTTTGTAAACTTACAGGTAACAATTTATCTGTAAACTTATCTGTGCAAGAACTTAGAAGAGATTTGCACTTTATAGATTATAATACATCTCAAATGAACCAAATGCTGGATGACACATTATGGAAGTAAAAATTTAATAAAAACTGATCATGAAATAGGTTACTAAGATGAAGTGTTAGAAATACAACATATATTTTTTTCTTTGAAAACTGTTACTACAACTTAAAATAGTGAATAGAACTACATGGTATCAAGTATTATGGAGAGAGAAAACAAGCAGCTGCTAAGGGCTGGGGAGAGGGGAAACTGACTTTTTTAACCAGGACAATGTTTCAGTTTAGGAAAATGAAGTTATTTCGACAGATATTAGTAACAGTTGCACAACAATTTGAAAGTACTTAACTATATACTTAAAAATGATTAAAATGGCAAACTTTGTGTTATGTGTATTTTACTACAGTGAAAAAATAAGAAGAATCATTAAGATGAGCTCTTCCAAATCAAGCTGACAAGTAAGCCCTCCAAGTCAGTCTGGTTACAGGTGCTTTTTATTACAGGGGTTTCTGATTCCTAATGCTTTGCCAACACACCAGTACATCCCAAATATAGTATCATGTATTCCTCAATACATCTGGGCATCTGGGTTCAATCCTTATCAGTGAGAGCTTGTTATTTAGCCGACAAGTCACTACAATTCTGTAGTGCTGGCATCTTAAAGTAGAACACTGTGCTAGGTAGATGCCCAATCAAGGAGGAGATTTAGTCCTCCCCCCGCCTCCGGGCATCCTCCCTGAACCCCCAGAGACAGAGCTAAAATGGTCTCTCAAGTCACATACGCTTTCCCCCACTGCATAAGTGCAAACTAGTCACAGCATAATACTGAAATGACTGGCTTATGGGTTTGTCTGTACTACGAACTCCTTGAGGACAGAACAGTGTCTTATTCAACTCTTTACAATCAATATTCAGCAGGATACTGACAATGTAGGTGACACATAAATATTTTCTCAACAGTTCAACTGTACAAAAATCATTTAAAGATTCAGATCCATGCTACTGAGAAATATGTATTAAGCAGCCAGGACAATAAAACAGCTATACATATAAATTAGGTTAAGGTTAATAACTGGACAGACATTAAATATGAAAAATTAAATCATTATGAAATATATTTTTCAGACAGACAAAATAACTTCTATTAATCACTATAAGGACAAGCGATAAATGGAGTGGAAAACTGAGACCTCCACTTTTCCAGAGATAAGATCTGAAAAAGGACAGAGGGAGTCTCAGGAGCCTCTCAAGGGCATCAGCCGCAGTATTGAAGTGTAGCAAGGAGAACATCCCTAAATACATGCCAGACAAAACCCAAAGAGGGACAATCACCAAACACCAAGGACGCTTAGAGCCTGCATGGAAATGCATTTGGGATCCTGGTGCTCATGACAAGTTCATTACCAGAATCACCCAGAGAAAATAGCAGAGCAGAGTCGGGGGGGTGGAGGCTCAGGACACACACCAGGCCTTGACTCTATTTCCTCAGTCAACTCTCATCCCAGCAACACCTACACTTGAAAAGGGTGCTCTAACTGATACTGAGCATGGTTCTAATACAAGAGCTCATATTCTTACACATCCTCTAAACGAGAGGCATGGACTGGTAAGGGTAAATTCCCCAAAATTAGTAAAGAAAAACCTAAAAGGTGTCAGGTACCAAAATCTGAGTTTCCAGACATAGTTAGATCCTGCCCCACCTGAGACATGTTACACCCTGATGAGAGGGTGTGGGTCAGGGGCAGCTCCAACAGGTGGCTTCTATTCCCAGCTGGGTGGCCCATTGCTTTCGATAAGCCATTCTATCACTGGCTAACTAAACTGGAAATTTAACCTACTCTTATTCTGGGCGTATGTAAAAGTGGTCTCATCCTACCTATTTATAGGCCACCTAAAATTCTGCTGAGCTGAATGAAACCTGGAAAAGCAAAATCTAACTGCAATCCTTCAAAGTGCTTTAAATTTGTGCCATAGCATCCTTATTTACTTGTTCTACTTTTCTACTTGTTCATTTATTCTACTTGTTCACTAAAAACATGGTATGCTAACAACCACTAAGAAGGGCAAGGATGGGATTAAAGATGTCAGCATGAGAGGTGAGACAGAGACCTCCTCCTAAAACCACACAGAATACGAAAATATAATTAATACAACCAATCCAAAAAGAGCAACAGAAAGAAAGCTGCACCAGACTGTATACACCTGCAGAAAAAAGAGACCCCATGGAAGAGGGCAATACACCAAAGCTGTGACCCAGCGGGACTCAACCCCTCCCCCACCCCAGCTCACCGGAGGGAGGAGGAGAAACAGAGTGGGTAGTGGGTGGAGGCCTGGGACTGCTGAACGCCCAGCCCTGCAGACCTGCTTCGGGAGCACACACCTACAACGAATGCATGGTGTTCTGGTGATTAGTGGGGTTGGACATCTAAGACAGGCAGAATGCCTGGAGAGACTGAGATTCCAACTGCTTGTGGAAAACAGGGATCCATATCCTGCTGATCTAGGTGGGCAGTCTGAGAGACTTCCTAAAAGAAAGAGGACTGCTAATGGGGCAAGACTGCACAGAGCTTGCTGCTCAGGAGAAAGGACAGGTGGACAAAACTGTCCAGGTGCACTCTACCCAGCAGGTTGGGAACTTTCACGATCTTCAGGTGCTCCATCCCTCTGGCTGGCTATGCAGCTCCAAGGCCCCCCACAGTGATATGCAGCCTCCCAGCCAGCCATCACCTGGCTTGCAAACTGGCAAACCCTGCCCTGGTGTCAGGCCAGCCAGAGGGAAGACCTGCCTACGGCAGCTACAAATGCAAAGCACAGAGGCTTACACCTGTGTGTTCAGCACACTGGTTATGGCAGTGGAGACGGGAATAGCAGCCAGGAAGCAGGAAAAGGCTCTTTCCTCCCCCCAGGCACCAGCACCACTCCCCTGAGAACCCTGACATCGCTGCAGAGGCTGAGCAGTTCCAGAGAGTAGAGCTTCTGGGCACTAGAGGGCACCACATACAAATATGAAACACAAAGGAACCTGGTTCAAAGTAAAATCTCAACACCACCAGGAAAACAGTCGAGTGAGACTGAACTAATCAATCTTCTTAAAACAGATTTCAAGATAAAAGTCATAAACATGCTTCTGGAGGTACAGAAAAATACTCGATCAGGAACGAATTTAGGACGGGGATCCAATAGTTGAGGAATACAATGGAGGGTTTTAAAAGCGGATTACATATGGTGGAGGAGACAATAAATGAAATAGAAATTAGAGAAGAGGAATACAAAGAAGATGAGGCACAGAGAGAAAAACAGATCTCTAGAAATGAAAGAATACTGAGAAAACTGTGTGATCAATCCAAACGGAAAAATATTCATATCATAGGGGTACAAGAAGAAGGAGAGAGAGAAAAAGGGATAAAAAGTGTCTTTGAGGAAGTAATTGCTGAAAACTTCCCCAATCTGGGGAAGAAGATAGTCTCTCAGGCCATGGAGGTGCACAGAGATCTCAACACCAGGGACCCAAGGAGGACAACACCAAGACATATAATAATTAAAATGGCAAAGATCAAGGATAAGGACAGACTATTAAAAGCAGCCAGGGAGAGAAATAAGATTACGGTACCTAATATATAAAGAATGGAGGAGGAAGAAAAGGGGAGGGGGGAACCTTTAGATTGTGTTTATAATAGCATACTAAGTGACTTAAGTTAGACTCTTAGGTAGTAAGGAAGTTACCCTTGAACCTTTGGTAACCACGAATCTAAAGCCTGCAATGGCAATAAGTACATACTTCTTGATAATCACCCTATATGAAAATGGTCTGAAAGCACCAATCAAAAGACACAGAGTCACTGAATGGATAAAAAAACAAGACCCATCTATATGCTGCCTACAAGAGATTCACTTCAAACCCAAAGACACAGACAGACTAAAAGTGAAGGGATGGAAAAAGGTAGTTCATGCAAACAACAGGGAGAAAAAAGCAGGTGTTGCAGTACTTGTATCAGACAAAATAGACTTCAAAACAAAGAAAGTCATAAGAGACAAAGAAGGACATTACATAATGATAAAGGGGTCTGTCCAACAAGAGGATACAACCATTATAAATGTCTATGCATCCAACACAGGAGCACCTACATATGTGAAACAAATACTAACAGAATTAAAGGAGGAAATAGAATGCAATGCATTCATTCTAGACTTTAACACTCCACTCACTCCAAAGGACAGATCAATCAGACAGAAAAAAAGTAAGGAGACAGAGACACTGAACAACACATTAGAACAGATGGACCTAACGGACATCTACAGAACTGTCCACCAAAAAGCAGCAGGATACATGTTCTTCTCAAATGCACATGGAACATTTTCAAGAATAGATCATATACTAGGCCACAAAATGAGCCTTAGTAAATTCAGAAAGATTGAAATTGTACCAACCAGCTTCTCAGACCATGAAGGTATGAAACTAGAAAT